GAGGATTGGAATCCTATTGCGCCCATGTTATCGCGCGAAAATTTTTCTCGTGGAATCACATACCAATACTCTCAATCAAAATAACCAGAAGATGATTGTTTTCTTTAATTAGTCATCCTTTAATGCATTTGCATTCCTTTTGTTGTTTGAATCTAAATGTGATCAGAGAAAAGCATTATAATTTATGTATTTTTGTAAAATAAACTACAACTGTAGTAGTGTACAAATGGTAAGAAAAGCAGAACGGCAAATGGAATTACGAGTTCATCTCAATCCAGTTCAAAAACATTGTTTAAAATTCAGTTGTGTAGGAAAAAAATTCTGTATATATAATCTATAAAGGCATAATAATCTTTTTTCTGTCAATGATCTTTCTTAACCATCCTCAATTGTATATGAGTTGGGTTAGTGAATCATTTGACCCTTTTTTCTTTTGAAAAAACAGGGTAAGTACTCTTTAAACTATCTTTGGAAATAGGGTTGTCATAAAATATTGCATTTCTTACTAAATACGATTGGTTTTATTGATTAGTCTCTATTTTAGATGAACTATTTTCCTGAATGGAAAATATAGCTGCACCACACTGGTGGAGTGTTGTCATCCAAGTTTTGGTTACTTGCAGGTCTTGTTTTTTGTCATGGCTGGAACATTGTAGCTGTCACATTAGCTTTATTCAAAGAAGAAGGTTGATGGACGTGGTTGGTGCTTCATTATATGTTGAGCCACTTTGTTGGGATTAACTCACATGTGTTTCTCACAAATCCAACAATATAGTTTCTTGTGGTCAATTGGTCATATATTCAGGGATGGATTTAGGGGGGGACATTCAAATTTTTTTTACCATATATGTAATGTTTTCATAAAACTTTCATAATTTAATTATATTCGCCCCCCTTAGCTTTTAATTTTCAAAATTAGTATATAGTCTTACATAATGTAATACTTAATTGGAGATTTAAAAGAAGAAACATCTAAAATAATTTACATAACTTAAAAAAATAAACAATAGAGTAACTCATTATTTAAGATTTAGGATACTTATTATATAAGAATTCCTAGTTTTGTAATGTTTAATTATCTTTATTAGATAACAAGTACAGGATTTTGTAAAACATATATCAAACAATATTAAATACCAGACACACTAATTACACAATTTTTAGATCACGTTAAATGAATCCAAAATATAAATATTTATAGACATTAGATTACATAATTCATTTACTTCTTGCTTTCTAAAAATAATTTACTGCATGGATAATAAACTTTAAATTATTATAGAATTAATAAAAATATTAAAATATAATATGCACCATATATGTGTGTGTGTATGTGGTGCATATTATTCTAAAAATAACAATCTCATACATACTAGTATACTACTATTGTAATATTAAGAAAACTTCTCATGAGTCATGACTCACGAACACCCTCTTTGGTGGACAAAAATTACAATTCAATAACCGATTCATGAGGTTAAACAATGAAGAAATTATTAAAAATGTATTGGTTGATGTCTTTGTCATCGTCTAAACTTAGAATGTAATAGATATAAATGCCGGTTCGGGATGTGCAAGTATTAATGTCATTTTTTGAATAAAAATAGCCGCATAGCCCTACAATAGCAAAAAAAATTCGCCCCGCTACAGTAGGGGAAAAAATTTCACCCCGCTACACTAACAAAAAAATTCACCCCTACACTAACGAAAAATTTCGCCTCCCTTGACTCAAAATCCTGGATCCGTCCCTGCATATATTTCATAGTAAGTGTTCTGGAGCCTGTGTATGGTACCACCCTATGTGCCATGTAATAAATTGTGGGGAACTTCATGTGTGCCTTTCCTCTCTCTGGCTTCTCACTAAGAATTCAAAATATTCTCAATTACTCCCTCAGGTCCTAAATAAACTTCACACTTTTCTTTTTAGGGCAAGTCCAAAATAAACTTCACATTTCAATTTTTGATAAGTTTTTAATACAAAGTTACTTTTATACTCTTACTTTATTACCTACTTTGCACTCACTTTCTCTCTTCCACTACATCTAATCTACTTTTTGAGGGGTGTGATGGGAAAGTCAAAAGCAAAATTTCCACTTTGTTAAAAACTATAAAGTCAAAATGTGAAGTTTATTTAGGACCGGAGAGTATTTGATTTATTTTTCTCACATATACTTCACACAGGTGGATCCAAGGAGATCGGACGTGTTCTGTTACCTTTAAGGCTCATCTAAGTATTTTGTTTACTTCATATTTACCTTCTTACTAAATTTTGATTATTCGGCATTATGTTGTACATTCTTATACTTGTTTTATTACGTATAACCTTATGATTATGTTTTGAATTTTTATTTTTGTTTTTGTTTCAACGAAACTATTGGGCTATTGTTTTCTAATCAGAATAAAGATGCATATTTTGATGAAAATCATTGGGCATTTATCAATCGCGCAACGCGCGTATAAATAACTAGTATTGGAATAAAAACAAATTTGGGTGGACAACCCTGTTCCCATTACTTGAGTTTTGCACATTTGTTGGAGGTGTAGCTAACAGCCCCGTCTAGGGGTGGGCAAAAATACCGAAAAATCGGTATACCGCACTTACCATACCGAAAAATATCGGAATATACCGAAATATTGGTATACCGTCATTTTCGGTACGGTATCATACTGTACCGATCTATTTCGGTATGGTGTTTTCAAATACCGCGGTATACCGGTATAATACCGTACCGACTCCCTACTCAACAATTACTTTTAATTCTAATATATTGTAAAAATCCATTACAATTTTGAAGCCAAAAATTAATACTTAAGTTGGTTACAAATACAAAAATACAAAAATAAAAGCCCAATTTCTCAAACCCACTATAACCTTATAGGCTTCTACTACGCTAACCTTAATGACTAATGAATAATGTACAAATGTCAAGAAACAAGTCCATCTTGTTCCGAGGCAAGTCGTGATGGTTGGGCCGCTAAGTAGCTGACGAGTGAAGAGAGATACACGTATGTGACAAGTGTATCTACATAGGAATTCTGCGAGTCGAGACACACAACTTTGTCCGAAAGTTTTATTCAATTTTTAAAAAATTATAAAAATGGCTAAATACACAATATCATATTAGGAATAAATGATTTTATATCCATGTTGTTTGAATAGTTTTATTTATTTTTGTTAGATATCACTATTGATTTAGTTATATTTATATTGTTCAAGTTATTTTAGGAGAATGTGTTACTTTTTCATATGTGGCATGTTGAACTGCTTAAATATACTAATAATAATTATTGTTGAATATTGAATTGACATAATTAGATTATTAATTGTATTTTATAACATTTGAAAAACAGATTTAATATGTCGCTAGTAATAACGATTTAGTACATTTCGTTAGTCTATGATATTTTTTTGTATTGGGAGACATGCACGGTAATTTACCGATACCGTACCGTTACCGAACCGAAACTTCGGTATACCGAAATGCGGTATACCGAAACTTCGGTAAGGTAAGGGTATGCAAATTTTGCATACCGGAAGTTTTGGTACGGCAAAGGTATGAGAAAAAATATAAGGTATACCGTACCGAACCACCCCTAGCCCCGTCCACATTACTTTGATTATAATAGCTAAAAAATAATGCTCCTGTGTGGCTGTGTCATGTATAAAAAATAATACTCCTATGTCTGGACATCCTATCATATGTTGACCATGTTGACGTAATTTAAAAAATGGACATTAAAGAAATAGAATAAGAAAATCCGACAAGTCATAACCAACACGAGTTTTTTACAAGAATATTACTAAAATAAAACTTATTTACATAAACATGACTATTCATTACTACAACGTAGTGTTGTGGTCACTTAAGTTCAAAACTTGAACATGAATTACTATGATTTCATTACTACTCTAGTAACTAGTCATATTTTTGTAAATCATCTTTATCTGGATCATATTTATGTAATTATTTCAAGATACACAACAAATATATAGAAGCAAAAAATCCAGTAAGAAATAACCGACCAAAAATGCACTCTATCGCTCTACATATATATAATTGCTTTTTTCTTTATTGGTTGTAAGGGTTTTACTTTTACTTCATTTACGTACCATGTTTTGATTTTATTCCCCTTTAATGTATAAAATCAAATTTTATGTATAAAATGTTATTTCGGCACTTCAGCCATTTGATTTTATTGGCTCGGTAAGACTTTTCAAATGCTTAAAGCTGTAGGGCTAGTAGAAATGTTGTAAAGTTGAAAAAACAATAAGACTATTTGATTGGAGAATTTTGATAGGAAGGAGAGGAAAACAGATAATTTAGGAGGGACAGCAAAGTGACTTTCAAAATCCTTCAAGAGTGCTTGGTGTACACGTTTTGTACACTCATCTGTCTCATGCACATAGAATTGTATGTCCACATACAACAACTCTGTAGAATTGTCTGTGGACAGACAATTATGTGTGCGTGAGACAGACGAATGTACAAAAGATGTACACTAAAATGTGTACACCTAGCACAACTCATCATCCTTTAATGCCTACATAATTTCCAAAAACTAAATGAAACTAATAAAAAAAACTTCCCTACGAAAGTAGTCTAAGTAAAATAAATGAAGTATTTAACTTGTGAGTTTTCTCTGTTGTGTTTTTTCACATATTACATATATGTTCTATTAAATGTTAACATTTTTTATTATGATGAATTTATAACCTATGACCTCCTATTGAGAGTGTATTGAACAATAAAGTGTTTGATATTAATATGTGAGTTTGTCACGATGTATTTGTCTACATTTGTCAACTTTTTATAATTTTGAAATGCACGATTAAATATATAGTTTAGCAATTGCAATTAAAATGGGAGGGACCAATGCTACAAGACAAATCAAACAGGGCGGCCATTATATTCCCACCTTTGACTCAAATCTCATCCATTTCGAATTTGGCTTCTATATATAAACGTGCTTCATGCATGTGCTAAACATTTACATTCACCCGATTCTATTCAAAGCAATCTTCTCGCATTGTTAAATTAGTTCTTCTGATTGATCATTTCATCTCTAGCTTAATTGCTTTTTGCTTCTCAATCTCAAAACTTTCTTGATCCATAATGGAGAACAGTATGCTGATGAAGGTGGGATTGTTTATTGTGGTCCAAGCTTTGGTTTACTTGATCATCTCCAAATCTTCCAACGTCTTCTCAAAAATGCCAAGATCCTACAGCTTCAAAACCGTGCGCTCCCTCAGCATCCGCCGAATGATGGCGGTCCTCGGCGACTCTCCGACCGAAGCCAGCCCTTCTTCTACTTCCACTTAGGGCCGGATCAATCTGGTCCCGATTTCAAGACAGCTGGTCCAGGGTTTTGGGAATAGGGCCAGGACCATTCCCGGGATGGCAATACCGGTCTGTTCAATTGTAATCAAGTAGTATTGCAATTATATTATCAGTTCAAACCAAAGCAGTTCAAACCAGCCTTGCAAGAAGTTAATATTGTTGCATACTTGCATGCATATTTTTTTATTTAATTTGTAGTTACCCAACTATAGCATCATAGTAAATTTGTTTTTATTTTTGGAATGGTTTTATGAGATTAAATTGCTGTATACTTGTATGTAAAAATATTGTACTGTCACTTTGACCACTAGACGATAGTATAGCTGCAACATAATCTGAATACGATATATAGCTGTAAAAGTAACACTTAATACCGCTCATGAAATTTTACATCGTGGTAATCCAAACTAGCATCATAAACTTCTCCATACATGAAAGGAAAAAGAAAAATAAGGCTCAGCCTCCTATGTGTATCATTGGTCTATTTGGTGTTTTTGCTATGTCAAACATTCCAGCATGGGAGGCCTTCTTTCTTTTGACCTGTGCACATGAAGTAGAACAAATGGATAAGGATATCAAACATTTTTTCACAAACCTATTACACATTTCTTGAAAATAATGAATGGGTAAAGATGGTGAGAAGGATGTAATCAAGCTCTGTCTTTATACAAAATTCGGCATATTCAGTCTTTTCTTTACAGTCCAAACAAATCATAACCAAGCGAGCACTGAGTATAATGAAAACAAATCACTAAGATTCAAATAAGATGGCATGCATCAAACTCCAGTGAAACTCAAACTATGCAGAAAATGAGTAGAAAGACTACAATCACAATAGTTGCCAGTGGTTAAAAAATACACTAAGATACTCACTGCAGACCCAATTATTGCGCTGAGTTCTTCATCATCAGCGCCACCGCGAAGAGGATCCCTTAAGCTAACCTGCGGAAGATAAATATTTAGTGCTTGCTTTTAATCTCGCAAGGACATATGGCACTAAAATTGGTAAATACAAAGAAAAAAACAAGCCATAAAAATTAGGGGTGGGACTTGGAACCGTAAAACCCGAAAACCGATCCGAACCGAACCGAAATTTCCGGTTCGGTTCGGTTCCTAGAGTTTTGGACTTGAGCTTTTTTCGGTTCGGTTCCTATAGTATTTCATCGGTTCGGTTCCGGTTCGGTTCCAGTTCGGTTCCGGTTCCTAGCCAGGAACCGAACTTCTTATACATTGTATGAGTAATCTTCATTTGAGGTGCTTCTGAGTGGAATTTTTTGATGAAATTTGGTGAGAATGTTTTTCATGAAATAAAGATTATGTCCACCAAATTTGAGCTTAAAATGTAATCGGGAAGTCAGTTAAATAAATTATTGAAAAACAGTACGCCAACATATATAAAAACGCAATGTTTTTCAATATTTTATTTAATTCACTTCCCGATTGAATGTTAAGCTGAAATTTGGTATATATCATCTATATTTCATGTAGAACATACTCACAAAATTTTATCAAAAAATTCTACACGGAAGAACCTGAAATGGAGATGGCCAGACGGCGTTCCGGGCCAATCCGAGTAATTATTTGTCAAGAATATTTTCTTGCATAATATACCTTATATATTGTGGACCAGACCAATCCAAGTAATTATTTGAATACTTTAGTCCACTTTTATATTTATTTTTTGTTTGTAAATGTAAATGTATTGGAGTTCATCTGAAAAAGGAATTAATATTCTATTGATTACGTTGTTTATTACTACGTACATTTTACCTATTGTGCATTACTAGTAGAAGAATATTATTTTGAAGTTGAACTACCAGCTATTAAATGTGTACTTTGGAGATATCAAACCTTTTTGCTCGACTGTTGATGCCTATTTTAAACCGAGATTTTTGTTATGTTGAAATTTAATGTTGCACTTGGATATATATATTTTTTTATTTGAACATTGAGATATCATGCACGTATAATGTAATGGTCATAATTTAATGATTTAAAGTTTGAATTTTTTTATTTAACTGAAGGTAAAATGTGTTCATTTCAGGAGGATAGTAAAATTTTATAAGGAACCGAAAAAAGGTAAGAACCGAACCGAATTTAAGTAGAACCGAACCGAATTTAACAACCATTTTTTTAACTAGAACCGAACCGAATTTAAACCCTACAATTTTTATACGGTTCCATCGAATTTTAACAAGAACCGAACCGATCCCAGACCTAATAAAAATGAAGAAACAAGATGCTATCGGCCTTATTTGGCTTTCTGTTTTATCGAGCGCTAAAAAAATGGAATCATCATCATCATCACTACCACAGTGCCGCAAAGGCTCCCACCTAGGGTGGGGTAAGGGGGGGTCGGATGTACGCAGTCTAACCCCTGTATTAAAGCACAGAGAGAATGTTTCCGGATGACCCATAGTGAAAATCGCGTCCAAAATGCATGGACTGACTGCAGCTCCATAACAAAGAAGCGCGGACAGTTTAGTGAGCCATTTTGCTTTATTCCATCATATTTTGAAGCCAAAAAATAGTGAGTCTTTGGCTCCATTGCAAATGATGGAAAGCGCTAAAAAAAATGAAACATTATAGAACCTAGCTAAAAAAATGGAAACCGTGAAAAAATGGTTTACAGTTTTTCTTGGCAGTTTTATAATGGACATTATTAGTTTATATATGACTAGTTATTAGCTCATTATAGAACTTATATAATATAACTTTGAAATTGTAACTAAAGTCGGGGTGCTCACAGCTCATGAAGAAAGAAAGTTCACCTCAGAGGGACCAAAAAGGCATACTTTAAAATTTCCATCTGCCAAAAGCCTCAACCTGTTGCAGCCAGCACAGAAGTGCTCCGTCATTGAAGAAATGAAGGAAACAGTGCCTTCATGCCCATCTATCCTGAAATTCTTAGCAGTCTCTGTAGGGTGGTCCAAAATTCTTTGAAGCCCAGTAAATTTTTTAGCCTGGTTTAAAAGAAGAAAAGATCAACATTTAATATTATGCAAAAACGAGAATGAAAAAAAAAAATCTATGTGTGGGGGGGGGGGGGGCATGTGCCAGTATTATACCTTACCACTATGTCAAACATATCTTTGTAGGGAACAAGCTTCTTAACATTCCAAACATTTCCATCAAAAGGCATAAACTCAATAAACCGGACATTAATTGGTTTCTGACGTGTCATCTCCACGAAATCACAAATTTCATCATCGTTAAATCCACGCATAACAACACAATTTACCTGAGTTTAAGCAGATTGAAGAAGGCGTAAATAAGTTTCTGTCAGATACTCAGATACAACCCATTTGTAAGGATGAATTTCGTTGAAGTTACTGGAACTACTAAATGGCGGATGAGCTGCCTTAATTTGCCAAAACTGCTGAAATATTGAAATGATAATTATTAAAATATTCTGTTTTGATAATATAATGAAGACAACATGTGAAAATAAAAGTAAATTGTCATTTTCATCCATTTCAGCAACTTCTACGAAAAAATAGTTTTGTGAACTACCGGTTTCTTATCATCAATAAATTCAACCCGCACACTGACATAAGTTATTGTTCGTCAAAATAATCTACTATTACATCATAAGGTTGATAAGAGAAAAAATAGTTCTCTCTTTAAGATGACTACTGCACAAAGAGATAACGATAACTTACTTTTACCGGATTATAACCAAGATCAATTGCAGCTTGAATAGATTCCATAACCCTTTCATGTCCTTTGCGTCTAGTCATGAATTCAAATTTTGCAGGGACCAAAGTATCCAGACTAATGTTAACCAAATTAAGCCCACACTCTTTCAACCGAACAAGCTTTCTTGCTAATGTAATTCCATTCGTGGTAATAGCAAGAGTCCTGAGTCCTTCCAAGTTTGACAGGTCAAGGCAGATATCCTCGAGATCCTTCCGAATTGTGGGTTCTCCCCCGGTTAAACGGATCTTACTCACTCCAGATGTGACAAACAAATTCGCCAGGCGAACAATTTCACAGCGGGTTAAAAGTTGAGGGTTAGGGGTAAGATCCACACCATCAGATGGCATACAGTATTGGCACCTTAAGTTGCAGCGCTCTGTTAAGGATATCCTCAAATAAGTGTGTAACCTTCCAAAGGTATCAACCAACATGTTGGAAGGACTGTCCTTTGGTACACTTTCTGGGAGTGTATCACATGAAGAAGCTGAGTATGTCTGTAGCACAGATTTCTCTATCTGATTATCAGTGTTGAAAGTTTGGGCATGACAGTGAGCAGAACAGAACCTTGATATGGTGGCAATATTGCCCTGGAATACATTAATAAGCACCATAATTATCAAGCTCGAAAATAAACAGAGATTAAAAACAAAGGTAAATTCAATCAGCAATCCGTTCCACAGTGAGTAAAACTTCACTTTATCTGTTAATATATTGCAACTTTAAACTCCATTTATGCAGTTCACCTCTGAGAAACAGGAAAGTGTATCCATACTAATTAAAGAAACCATCCAGTTAACAATTGACCTAATAGATTTCCTTTTATGGGTAGAACATGATTAATCACAACCAGTAACAAAAGAACTCATAGAACCAGATATGTACCGTATTGAAATTCCTGCTGCGATCAAGTTTGAACCACAACCATCCGGGAACTGTAGGACGCATGGTGGAAAAGAGGCGATATTTGGCCGGAATTCTTTCTGGAAGTTAGGTTAAGCAAGTGTCGGAGCAATATGTGAAAGAGACAAAAGAAACTGAACAGGAAAAGAGGAAGAAAGGTAAGTAGTAGCTCTGTAGCTCAATAGCTAGCGAATACTATTGGATGCATCATGAGTTTTCGGAAATTTATACCCCATCAAGAAAATGTTTTCTTTGTGTGGCAGTTTCTATTCCTTCATCATCTTTGAGAAGGAGGGGGTGGACTGTCACTTGTTGTGTGGTTTGTGTGGGGGAGGGGGGGAAGATGATGAATCTCCTTTGCATCTTTTCGTCACCTGCCCAGTGGCTATGGCAGCCTGGGGTACGGTGAAATGGCGTCTATGGGGCTAATCGCTCCAGATTTCTTTGAATGGCTGAAATAAAATTTTGATTCTTTGCAGGAGAAGGAACTTACTAGACCGATGCTTGGCTGTTGGGGGCTGTGTGTGAGAGAGAAACCAACGTCTCTGGAATGGCAGCAAGCTCGAAGAGGTGCAGATCCTGCGGAAAGCTGAGGTCTTTACTCTTTACTACTGGCTGGTTGAAGGCGCAGCTTCCGCGATCAAGCTGAGGTGGAAGACGGAGGGAGGAGGCTTCGATGTGGCAGAGACCTGAAGCGACTCCTTGGAAGGTTAATGTCTATTTGTCGACGCTCTTTGGGAAAGAAAGGTGCGGTTTTGGCTCACATCGGTTTTGGCCGGGTCGGGTCGGTTTTTTAAACATAGCTTTGGTATGGTAGAGACATTTTTGAGAGGAGCATTTTCCGCCTTCCAGCTCAATATCTGAGATTTCATAATCTCCATCGCGGCACTTCTCTAGGTCGATCAATAGGCAGCAATCCAGGCAATTTGATCGCAGCAATCCAGGTGATTTGATCGCAGCAATCCAGGTAATTTCATCACCTCTCTGTTTCCATTTTCCAATTTTTGATTCAGAATAATATTTTTCTACCCCTTCTAATAGAATAATTTTTCTTTGAATTTCACCTACTCTTGAATTGGATCCTTCCCTTTTCGTTATTTTTCATGTTATCTCTACTTAGGGTTGTAGTGTTCTGATCGAATGAATTTCTTCACCAAATTTGGATTCCATCTGGGAGTATAAATCCCATTTGTTTGGGAGTATAACTCCCAATTGGGATCTTTCTGCACTCTAATTTTGAACCTGTAAAAGGACATTAAAAGTATCAAGTGGGTATGTCAAAGCACTCCTGAATGCAGCAGATTAGCAGACCATGCACCAGTGATGATATGGGTTGCAAAATTGTGATCACTGAACATGTCTTTCATCTTAAAAGGTAGAAAAGATTTAAATACATAAGAACAAATATAGTAAAAGTAGATAAATAAGTAAAGTATAAAGTATAAAATTTGTACAGTTTATGTAAAAAGTAGTTTCTCTCTGGGGTTTTTCAACATGTAGAGTTTATGGAAACTGGTTTGTATTTAAGAAGAGTACAAATGATAGAGACTGTGTCTTTGAAAACACATACCAGTTTATTAATCATAAAAAGTATAAACAGAAATCTCTTCCCTTACTCATCACCATTCTATCCTCAGTTTGACAGAATCTTTCTCTTTTCAGTGTAAGAATAGAGACAATTTTTACTCCATTTACTTTTCTACAGTAAATCGATATTCGATGAAGTCCTTGATTTTATCTGATCCATTGATTTAACTCATTTTTATATGGTTTTGTTTTTTATGACTTTTCTTTAAATTGTGTTTTGTTCGTACCCAAGTAAGTGACGTATTTTCTATAGACTACTCATTCCCTCTATGTGCATACTAAATGAATTACATTTGACTGTTTTATGAATTGATCAATAGTTACTTTTTTTAAAAACCCAGTGGTAAAGCAACCTAAAAGGTTGGGACAGGAGCTGGAGAAACACCGAAGTCAATGATACCTACAAATCTATGACTCCGTATAATGATTAATAGAAAATAGAATTGATCACTTAATTGACATAAGTTAGGCTTTAACTATTCATATGATGCATAAAAAGGTGAGGCATTATTCTTAATTTTAGACCAAAGTTAGGTCAGTGAGACAATGAGAATTATGAGATAAACTTTTCTTACATATTAGTAATTTAGTATTGCTTGGACATTCAAATCCATGATAGCAAATGCATATTTCATATCAAAAAATGATTGTGAGTTACTTATGGTTGGAAGAAATCCTGGATTGTCATTATTCCAGAACTTCCCCGTTGTAGCTTTGTGAAGGTTTATAAAACAATACCCCCACTAGTGCTTTAACTTAGGCGTTAAATCATCTAAAGTGCTTCAATGAATCATTTGGTCACAGATGTGGTCTGTATTTGTCCTCTTCAACAAATTTTCGGGACCAAAAGAGGAAAAGGTTCTAAAATCAGATGTGGACAAATTGGATTTGATTGGGGACTTCCCTTTCATTCATTCTCCAAATGATACGTACTTATCCCGATCATTTTCCATCGAAGTGAGTCAATTTTTATCATTCTCTATCTCATCATTGGATTGCTTCTGCTTTAGCAGATCAGCTAATTTGAACATTGGGTGACATAGGTCCCACACATCAACCAACTGCATACTTGGGATTGTGGTCTTGCCTGTGTTGCAATGGTTTTGAGAACTCTTGGCTTCGTTGATTGTACTACTGGGGAACTAGAAGAGCTATGTTGTACAAGAAGGTACTGTTTGTCAAAGTGTATGCTATTGAATGATGTGCAGGCTCTGTTTGTTATCCATTCTGGTTCTGGCTCAAGCTGTTTATATAATTGGATTAAGTATCTTTTGACATACTTATTTGGCTTAGTGAAGTCATGTCACTAAATGATTTTCCTTCCATAAAGTCCAGCAGATTCATCCATTTCAGCCAAATATCTGATACCAAACAGGCCCTTAATACTGCTATGCTGGCATTGGAAGCCTTTCTGTGTTTATTTGGATTCTTGATGATGAATTGCTATACTTTTGATTGATATAATTTTTTGGGTTACAGTGTTTGGACAGTTGATCTGGCATATTTACTGCAGAAATATTCTGCTGATTTTTACTATTTTACAGTCACGTTAGGAGCTAACCCAAATTTTAGTATGGAGACATTTTACAAGGTACTTTTCCAATTCATAATATGTTCCATGAACTAGCATGTAAAGTAGTTTTGCACATGATCTAGTGTAATGATTAATCCTTACAAGTTATGCACATGTAAATAGTTTTGCACATAAAGGCATAAAGCAATATTTACTTTTGCCCAGTAAAATCGTTATATGTAAAGTAGTCTTACAGACATTTAGTTTTGCACATGTAAGATAGTTTTGCACAAAAAGTGCAATGATTTATATTTACAAGTTATAAGTACAAATTAGATCCCCCGGTTTGCAGGAGCAATTACCCTCTGATCTCGTACGTGTCAATATGTTGTTTCGAAGGGCACGTGAAGCTGGCATTAATATTGAGGTTCACTTCATACATCTTAAGCTGATTAATACTCCCTTTGTTTCAAAATACTTGTATCACTTTCTTTTTCAGGTTGCTCCAAAATATTTGCCTCACTTATTTTAAAAATAAATGTGGGCCTCCTATGAAAATTGACAATAACAAACCAGTGAAACAACGAATGAAAGATGTCACTATCGAGACGAAGTGGCCAGTCATGAAGGATAGTATTGAACTGTTGAAGTATTGTCCCTACCAGTAAAATATAAAATAGTAAACCAGTAAATCACTCTATAACATCATGGGATATTAAAGTGTGATTACTACCTCACTAGTTACTACCGTAGTTAAAGTGTGAGACAAGCATTTTGGAATGGATAGAGTATTATTTACTACCTTACTAGTCACTACCTTAGTTACATGCATGAATTTTGTTAAAAAATAATCTGTACAATCATTTGATGTTAGGATTGTTGGCCCCTTTACATCTCGAAAACAACATCCAAGCCTTAGGCCCAAAATGAGACTTCTTTTACATCTCAAACATCATTTTTTTTTTAAAACTTCTGAGTTCTGACTTGCATATCTGATGTACAGTGCAGGTCAATTAGTGCTGAAGAGATGTCCCTATTAATATTATCAAGAAACTATATTGCAATTGCTTTAGTTGACCAATTCAAGCTAAGGTATACTCTGTCCAAATTGTATTAAGGAATTAAAACTTTCAGTTGACATTTTTAAGTCACTGTTTTCTTTACTTTTATGGAGTTTATGCAGTCATTCTTGGCTGGAGGACCTTTGTGTTGCAAGCATTTGCAATGATAGGCCTGGGTATATTGGTGAGACTTTATGCTATAACTCCTATTTTATTGCTATCGTTAGGTAGTTAAAGTAGTAAGTAAACTTATTTTCTTATGCTTGATTTACCTCGAAAAATGCAAAAGTAAAAATATACTCCGTATATGATTAATATTTCTATATTTTTAGATGTACTTAGATTTCTTAGTGTTTTATAGAAATAAATTTAAAATATGAGCAATTGATTTTATTATTTGAAATATTCCATATATCATTTGTACAAATAATACTCCCTCCGTTTCTAAAAGAAAGTCACGGTTTGACTTCACGATTATTAAGGAAATAAATTGACTTTACTGTAGAAAACACTGTTTGGCACTGTTTGGACACTGTTTGACACTGTTTGACACTGTTTGGATGTAGATTTCTTTGCCAAATAAGGAAATAAGGGAAGTGTGACTTTGTTTTTGAAACATCCCAAAAAGGAAAGTGTGAGTTTCTTTTAGAAACGAAGGGAGTAATAAACATAAACCAATTGAGTTTTAACCAGTGTTTTATTCTCCTCAACAATTTTTTCTTCCAAACTTCTTCTATGGTCTCCTTTCTATTTTCTTTCGATAGCAATTTCCGAATTCCAAACAGACTCTAATGGTATGTTTAAATTCCAGATATTACTTTACAAAGAAAAGAAGAGAAATTTATAATGACATTATTTTGTCATGAAAATGAAGTATGACTACAACGATAACAACAACTGAATGAAGTATGAAGGAAAAATTGACTAGAATAATCCCACCTTTCACTGGTCTTCTCATAATAATCCTACCTTTACATAATCCCAAAATAATCCCACATTTGCACCTCATCTTCTTTCATTGGACCCTGACCAAGTTTTTTACCTTTATTTGAAAATCTTATATAAATAATCTCACATTTATAAAGATATAATAGAAAAGTGAAAGGTGAGATTATTTATATGATTTTCAAAAAACGAGTAAAAAACATGGTCAGGGTCCAATGAAAGAAGATGAGGTGCAAAGGTGGGATTATTCTGGGATTATCTAAAGGTGGGATTATTATGAGAAGACCAGCGAAAGGTGGGATTATTTTTGTCAATTTTCCCCTGTTTTTATTAAAGTTAAACATTTTTATATTTGCGAATCATAATAGAAAGATATAAATGAATAGAATGAGTATCAACAACTATTTAAAATAAATGCATTCAGTTTTATATCTTTTATTTTCTCTCAGTTTTTCTTTCCTTTCTACTACCTCCGTCCCCCTAAGTTTGGGACAAGAAGAGGTGACACGGTTATTAATAAAAGTGTGTTTATGTGGTTGATATTGAATTGATAAAGCAAGAATAAAGTAGGAATGATTTAGAACCACACAAACTTTACCAAATAAGGTATGGGACAATCTTAGTGGGACGGACCGAAATGGTAAAATGGGACAATCATAGCGGGACGGAGGGAGTATTTTATTTCCATGTATTTCCTAAGATCCAAACAAACTCTAAAGGGATCCAGATCATCTGCAATAACTCCGTTACTCCACCACAGGGTTACAAAAGGGACAGTCCCAATTTATTTGGATGACTTTTTTCCAATTCAATGATTTCAAACTTGCATTTAGTAGCGCTCAAAGGTGGAGTGATGCTAGAAGATCCAGTCCTTTTGGAACACGAAATATACTAAGAAAGAAGGTTGGAAGGAAAACATATACTCCCTTTGTCCCTAAATTATCTTCCAAAGTACATTTGGCACGGGGATTAAGATAGTGGGTATTGTGTGGTGGTGAGGTTTTCAGAGGAGAGAGAAATGTGCAAGATTTGTTGTGAACCACAAATTCTTTGCCAAAAAAAGAAATAGAAGATTATTTTGGGACCGAAGAAAAAGGAAATTTGGAAGCTAATTCAGACTCAAACTTAATACATGTATTGTTGAGAGAAAATAAAAGATGGACTCAAATTTAATACATGTATTTTACAAATTTGTTCAAATTCGTTTTACCCATTTATTTATATTTATTTCTGTCATAGAAATAAGTAATTTTAGAATGACTATCTTTTTTAAATTTAAATGGTTTTAGAAATTTAATAGCATTTCATTTTCTCTAGCACTTCATTTTAGAATGACAAGCATAAGAATATATCTCCTTAGCATTTTCCCCTAATTTCTCTGGGGTGCACGCACACCTTTAGCCTTTATGGTGTAAGGTGGCAATTCACATTGACTTTACTCGTTGCAGGTCACTATGTTGTCATTTGTGGCTATGATGAGGACACAGACACATTTGAGATCCGAGATCCAGCAAGCTCACAGTTTGTTTTATTCTTTCTCACCATTTTCATTCTTCAAGCTTTTATGATATGTTCAACCTGAGGAAAAGGATAAAAAGCAAGTTGAATGACATTACCAGGCGGTGGTTGTCTATGTGGGTTGAGAATTTGGCCTGAAATATCTTGAGTTACATTGCCACTCCGAATGAGAGATGGGTGAATCAGTTTATGTTGTTTATTCTTTTCCTCAAATAATTGTTAGTTAGAAAAGAAAGCTCAGATTGTTCATTGGGGATACTTGTGTACATGCAGTTTAAGATTTAGTCCCCGAGGATATGTCATTACTCAATTTGGTCCTCATTTTTTTATTGGACTCAGTCTGGTCACGACTAGAAATTTGGACCCAATATAGTCCTTCTACATATCGGGTTTGAATTGAGAAGGGTTTTGTCCATTGACTATATTTAGGCTCACATTCCGACCGAATTTAGTACTCTACAGGCGAAAAATACTTCTTTTAATTAGAGAGGAATATGTTTGATGACTAAATTGAGTCCAAGTTGCATAGTAGTGTATCAAATTGAATCAAAAAGAAAGTCAAAGACCAAATTCAGTAAAGTTAATTATATTGTTGAGTTTTTGCACTCTATTTCTAGTGACTTAAGAATTACAAAACCTTGTGTCCAGGAAGCATGAAAGAGTAAGTTCAAGGTGTCTTGAAGAGGCTCGCAAATCCTTTGGCACTGATGAGGATCTACTATTGGTAAATCAATGTAGACAGTGACTGATTAACTTTTGCTGCTATTTGTGTACGGTGTTTAGATTTGTATATACATTTGTATATAGTCTATTACTGTATAACCTATGAGATTGTATTCATTTTCTGTTATGTCCCTAGAGTCTTTGCTCGACATAATTGGTGATGCTTTTGTTCAACATTTGCAGATACGTCTGACCAACGACAATCCAAATAGCCCCTAAGTAGTCTTAGCCTCACATTGTTGCTGCTTTAGGTGTTGGTTGATACATTCATGATCCATAATTTGATGGCCCCAAACCATATATACCCGTAAAAACTCAGTCATGTATAGCTTTGTGGCGACCTCCAGCCTGAGGGTCGCTTGGGAAAAAATGTACATTACTATATTTATTGCTTGGATGAATAAAATGCAGTTCTTTTTTTATCATCAATGATGGAAATCTTTTTTTCTAATACATGCGGGCAATCTGTTTAAACTTTATTCCATTTTCTGGTTAATAAATACGTTCATGCTGGTACATGGAAACTTTAATAGACAAGTACAGGCACAATGATAAAAAACAAGTTTAGAAAGTATAGGATACGGATTATGAGCACATATTTATTTCTAAATAATGAAAAATATAGGTATTAGTTTGCAAAGAAATACGTTAAAAAATATTTCATACATCCATGAATATTAAATTATATGAGCTGTACCAGAAGCTCATAAACATGACAAGGATTTAAAATGTACACTTCAGTTAAGAATAATTAGTAGCTGAATGATGAAAATTGGCGATTCGGTTCAAATATGTCCATCAAGCGTCTTGATGAGTATGTCTTAGGGATGGACTGGGCCGGGCCGAACCGGCCCGGAACCGGACCGGCCCGCTACTGTGCGGGCCCGGACCGGACCGGGCCCGGTTGGCCGGTTCCGGGCTTTTAGCCTGTGTTGGCGGGTCGGGCGGGCCGGTTCCGGGCCCTATTTTTGTTGAACCGGCCCGGGCGGTTCGGGCCGGGCCCGGTTCATTTTTTTTTTTTTTTGGTTTTTTCAATTTTTTTTCTTTTCCTAGGGTAGGGCTGGGTGTTTTAGGGAGGTTTGGGGCATGGGGGGGGGGGGGTAGGGAGATAACAAGAAAGTAAAAAAAAAAAAAAAAATTGAATCGGGCCCGGCCCGGCCCGGCCCGGTTAGGCCCGGACCCGGTATCAACCCGGGCCGGTTCCGGGCCCATGTAACCCGAAAAAAAGCCCGCCCGGGCCCAGCCCGGAACCGGCCCGGCCCGGGTCCATCCCTAGTATGTCTAATGAAACCACTATGCAGTACGAATCACGAGGTATCAGTGCACATTGCATGTTACCATGTGGCTTTTATTCATAGAGAAAAATTCCAAAATAGAAGTAAACATGATTAAAATTTCAAAATACGAGTAGTCGAGTACTATATTTTTTCTTGAATATGAGTAACTTACTATCATTTTGAAAAGGGAAAATCGCATATATGATTCCTCAGTTATCCACGAAATTAAAATCTCAGACCTGTAGTTCTGAGATTGAAAATGTCAATCCTTCAATTGTCCAAAATGTTGTAAATGTGACACGTTTGAGGAGTGAAATATACAATGTGGACGAGAGTACATTTCACTACTTAAAGGACCACATTTTCAACAATTTGGACAATTGAGGGGTGACATTTACAATCTCATAAATACAGGTCCGAGATTTTAATTTCGTGGATAACTGAGGAACCATGAATGCGATTTTCCATTTTGAAAATTTACTGCTATGTTATGTTAATAGTAAACTCTAAAATGGAAGTAATCACAATAAATACTCCCTATATACAGAATAAAAACATAAGACTCATGTTTAGAAAATTCAATAACATTTGTACTCTTAAAGCAATTTTTTATTATATACTACCTTCATCCCACTACTATTGTCCCATTGCGGTTTACAATGATTGACCAACAATAAATCAAACAGATCTTTGTTCGCATTCAAATAATTTTTAGGAAAAAGATACATATTTAGAAACTACATTAAAAGTTTTACAAAGTCGCAAAACCAAAATCAAATTTAATAAAAAAATTTGATATACAAAGTAAGAGATTAAAAGTGATTTGTGTTGACCAAGTGAATAGAAACTGAGACAATCTTAGCGGGATGAAGGGAGTACTTCAGTACTACATTGAGCACAAAGTATGGGAAGTAATTTCAATACTAAGGGCAAAATGGTTGGTAACATAGATTTTTTATTAAATTCATGAGAATAATCCATTTTAGGGATTCTACAATAATAATTCATATTGAGAATGTTCATAAAAATAATCCAAAATCTACTAGAATAAATTGGAGTGAATTTAAATTAGACTAAAGAGTCAAATAGGCCATCGAACTAACTTAAAAAGTGCAAATCGCCCCTTATATATGAGACTCTGTCCGGGTGCCGCTATTTGGGGTGGTTTCCGGTGGAAGTTTTTGATGAAATTTTTGGAGCATCTTCTGCATTAAGTTTAGTTTACTCATATCAAATTTCAGCTAAAAATTCAATTGGGAAGACAGTCAAATGATTTTCTGAAATGTACTGCGTTGTTTAACTGCGCAGTTAACTTCAAAAATTCATTTGACTGCCTTCCCAAATGAACTTTTAGCTGAAATTGGATATGAGTAAACTAGACTTAATGAAGAAGATGCAAAAAAAATTTCATCAAATAATTCTACCAAGAACCGCCTCAAATGGCGGTGGTCGGACAGAACCTCCTATATAATGATGATTTGCACTTTTTAAGTTAGTTCGATGGCCTATTTGACCCTTTAGCCTTCAAATTAATATATGTTAATACTCTCAATCCTTATTTGCACTTTTATAATTCCCGCTCGTCTTCTCGGGGTGAATTAAAATTAAAACTCATTTAATCTCAACTTCATTTTCACCATATGTAGTTCTCTACAGGTTCGAAGATATAGAAGTGTTGATCTAGACGAAGAGTGGTTAAATGGAAAGTGGATATAGGGGTTGGGAGTATTAAATGGGAACTGATTTGAAATCACCTTAATTTTTTCTTGTGGACAATATTGCTAGTTCGGATTATCTTTATGAATACTCTCACTAGGAATTATTATTATAGAATCACTAAAAGTATGAATTATTCTTGTGAATTTCGCCTAGATTTTTTAATGGAGAATTCCATAAATAGGAGCAAAAACAGTTTGAAATTCCAAAATAGAACTCATGTTTTTTATTACCTGAATAGGAATAAATTTCTGCAAAGTTTGGCATTATTAGGCTTTGAAGATAACATTTTTTTCAAACTTGGCAAAATTATTCCTATTTAGACATAAAAACATGAAAGTCCTATTTTGGAATTTCAAAACGATTTTACTCATATTTAAGGCAATTTCTATTTTTAAAAAGATTATTAGTTCAAATAATATGTGATCAAGATTAGTGCTGGCCTCGGTGCTTCGGGCCCCAAACCGGTCTAAGGCCCAGTTGGCTATGCAAAGCGGGGCGGGCTCGGGTCAAAGAAAAGGAGGCCCAGCCCGAGCCCGGTTCGGGCCAAATTGATTTTTTTTTTTTCATTTTTTTGGGTTCCACCAGATTGGGCATGATGTTTAGGAGGGGTTTGGGGGGGTTTGGGGTGAGGGGGGTCAGGGATACGTAGGAAAGAAAAAAAAAATTAACCAAACCTGAGGCCTGGCCCGGCCCGGACCCAGACCGGACCCAGTGGCTACCCGGGCCGGTCCCGGGTCCACCTATTCTGAACGCCGGCCCGCCCGGGCCTAGGTCCATCCCAGACCCAGCCCAAGTCCAGGACTAATCAAGATATGAATACATACATAAGGGTTGAAAGTCATATTTTTAAATTATTAAAAAGGTTATTATGTGGCAATAAAGAACACTAAGAACTGATTTCTGAAGATTGTTGATGGAAATGCTATAATGATACAACTATGGTACAAAAGTGTCAAAGTAGAATCATGTTAATCCAAGCAAAACAGCCACTACACCTCAAATCATCTATGGTTATAATTTAAGATTTAAGACTGCGAATTACTAAAAATACAAAAAAGTTTAAACAGGGAAGTAGGTAGATGAATCAGCCATCCTTGTCAAAATCGTCTTCATCATCCTTCATGTATTTCTCTTGCACTGCAGCAACTGTAAAGTTTCAAGTCAAGGGATGCAATATTTCCCTGCTATGAACACTTGGAGTCCGCATGTGGAAAGTGTTTGACTCGATCCAGCAATAACAGAACACATTTGTGAGCAATTGTGCAGGCATCATTGTATTATTTAAGTTATAGAATTAGAGCTAACTTGCTGACACAAGAACCTATGCATGTACTCCCTCCGTCCCCGAAAGAAGTTCCCCATTTGACTTTCACACACTTTTATGCAAGTAAACTTACCAGGGGATATATTTTACTGTTTTGACACTGTTTGGACACTGTTTGGCACTGTTTGACACTGTTTTGCACTGTTTGACACTGTTTTGCACTGTTTGACACTGTTTTGATGTAGATAACTTTCCATTTAAGGAAATGGGAACTTAAATTAAGGACATTCAAATAAGGAAAGTGGGAACTTCTTTCGGGGACGGAGGGAGTATATCACAAGAACTTTCTTTATCACTAAGCCTTTGTTTGTTTGTATGGAAGTGGTACTTTTTCCTAGTTCTAGATATATAACATATACTTCTTGCCTTTCTGTTTCTTAGTTATTTCTTTTTACCAGATAACACACAAGTTTACCTTATTGTTTAACTATTCTGTCTTCATCTCTCTCTCACCCAATTCCTCTTCTCTATTTCTTCCATAAAACAAACAAGGCCAAATATTCTTCTCCTTTGCTTTTTTACATGGGCATTAAGAAATTCAAATTCTATGGTAGAGGTTTATTTATAAATGAAAGGTTTAACATCAACCCGAACTACTCTTTCCTTGAAAAGAAATGGGAATAACTTTTTGGGATGACAAAAAGGGAAGGTGGGAAGAACATTTAAAGACGAAGAGAGTACCTCCCCCCTAATACTTTTGAGCTAAAAACTATCACTTGTATAGAAAAAGGATGCGAGTTTTACCTCAAAAGTATTACTCCTAAAGTGAAACGCAATGTCTCAAAGGAGCAAGGCTTCACAAGAGCTCTCTAACAAGTGTCACAGTGTGTGTACCAAACAAAGCCCATATTCCCCAAGAGAGTATGCAACTATTCATAAATGTAAAAAAGGATATCTATAGTAATCCCAGTCAACTGGGCCAACTGCAATTTTGCTGAACTCGACAGCAGAGGCATCGATGCCAGAAAAGATGTAGCCATTGCTTTTGTCAATCAGTTTAACAAGGTTCCCAACACTCACCTTGTCCTGAAATGAAAATTTGGTTGAAAATGCAAAATCAACATGGAAAAACCGAGTGTGTTTGATGGGTTAAATAAAACCAAACCGCTCTCATGCCTGAATATCTAATGTTGTGAAATTCACAAGCCCAAAATTTTCTATCACCTCACAGAGCTCCTTTGTAAGCTTTCTGAGAAGTTTATAAACAGTGAAAGTAAAAGAAGTTAATAATTAGTTCCCCTTCAATGAGAAACTGAGAGAATGGGACTCGTATGAATCATGCCAGATATGCTAAGATAAACATCAAATGATATAACGAAAAAGCAACTTGAAGTACTATTAGGCTGTTACATTTGTCCCAAATAAACTTTGACATCTTTAAAACTTTGACCAACTATATATTTTTATTCAAAATTATTTATAACATAAAAATTATATGAAAATGTTTGTTAAAAGTAATTTCATAAAAGTATAAAATTTTAAAACTTCCATAATACGGAGTATTATACTATTCAAAATCATGGTCCAAATTAATTTTATGAGATGACAAAGTTTTTTGGGACGGAGGTAGTATGTTATTAAGTCAAACATAAACAAATAGAAAGGTTTTCCCGAGACATGCAGTTTTTTTGGAAACCAGGATATTACTGGGAAAGAAAACATAGAGAAGAATACAAGGACAAGCATTGAAAAAAATGAAATTTTGGGCAATATTTTTGTGGCTCAAACTCAACAGATCAGTTTTAGATATTTTACAGACTAGCTTTTTGTGTAAATTTTATTATACACAAACTAATGAATAAAAATATATGTAAGAAATAAATCTTAATTAGATTTGATATTCCTTCGCATTTTCTAAGGTAAACCAGAAGTGCCAAACATAAACAACATTCACCCCCCCCCCCCCCAGAAATTAATGCATTCCAAACATAGCCTAAAGGATAAGAGATTATTGCAATGATTCGGCATATTTAAACCACCTGTATTTGGTAGAACGTGGATCCTTATCGAGATGATACTGCAAGTATGACAAATCTTGTACATCTGTATAGAAATCCAGATTATAGGCTGCAAGTACAAGACCAAAACAAAGGGTTAAAATCAAACCGATAAAAATGCTAAAGGTGCCAAAATTGGCTTATTAAAAAAAAGTCTGCACTAACCTAGCTTCCCGTAGCTTTCAATAAGATCAATCTTGGAAAGAACATTGACATGTGGCAATTCCAAATGTAGCATTGTTGATAATGACAACAGCAATGCACTCACATACTTTCCAGGATCACTACAAAGATGCGAGTCAACTAAATGTACTGCAGTCAACTGCAATAAAGATAAAATCCTAATAAGGGAGTGGTTTGGCCTACTGAACATTGAAGCACATCTAATTAACTTGAAAGGCCTGATCATACCCTAAGATTTAACTTCTTGATGAGTTTCATGATCACCGTTTTGGCGTTTTCATGTAGAAAAAATAGCTCTACCTGACCCGGAAAGTCAAAGAGAAAGTAGTGATCTGCAATGTCCAAGTGAACGTTAAAGCTTCTTAAGAATAATCAAATACTAAAAGTAGCAATAGGTACTTATTTTTTGAAATCATATAACAATGTCTTTATACAAAAAGGGAGGGAACTCATGTTTCTCATGAGGGCACATACTTTGGGACGTCAAACTTTAAAACCTAGATGATGCACAATCTAACATGAAATACCACTAACAGATTAGGTGGTTAGAATAATTCATCTGCCATTGTATGCCTTTAACCCTTCTCTTACAAATTGATTGATTTGTGATATAAATACTTAGTGTCACTTGAAGAAAAATTAACTCGAATGGTTTACTGTGAGCTCTAGGACAAAAATTCTCAAATCTTTTAAAAAAATTCTTTTCGTGTTGTTTTAGGGCCCTTAGCGTCATGTACATGAATTCACTTCCAAATACATTTCAAATTAACTTTCCAAAAGTGGTTTTAACAATATTGGTAGATAGCTATGTTAAAATGAATTACTACATTTTTTACACTTATAGGTGATCTGATCAAAAGAAAGAAAGATTCAGAAAACAAAAAAATTCAACATGGAGAAAGTACACTAAATTGAGTAGCAAAGCAACCTTTTAGGAGGGGTTTCAACTTGGCCTCTAACCAGTCAATATTCTTCTCAAGATAGTCCATGCAATATACAAGACCTATATAGCATAGTGAAAGGAAAATGTCAGATAAGCTAGGTTTTCCATGGTTCAGACTCTCAGCTATGCTTGACTTTATTTTACATCATCTAACCGATAAGCATTTAGCAGAAGGCCATGGAGTAGTTACATGGTTTTCTTTTGATTTGCATATGACATAGCACCTTGAAAAACTATTTGCTGATATTAAATGAAAATGTGGGATGAAAGTATGAAACATAAAAATTTGAGAAAGTGCAGGCAAAAGGCATCATTACCTCCATTGGGACCAAGAGAATGCTCAACCATTACATCATTCAGTTTAATGAGATCTTCAATATTAATAGCGCATTCATAGCTTTAGAACTTAAGAAAGAACAGAGTGCAATTGATTTCAATAACCATAAAAAATTAAAGTGAGAACCATGTAAAATATACAAAAAAAAAAGTTACAGAAGCTCAAACTAAGTGGATACGGTAAATTGTCATTTGCAGGATCTAAGTTAATCACCGCAACTTTCCTACAATAAAATTACCAAAAAGTTAATGAATTAAGCCTTCAACCATACAAATGAGCTGGTGTTTCTGCTACTCCAAGTTTACACACTTTCCGCATTATAACAAATAATACTCCACAAATGGATTGCAATTTTAACTGGAGCCCAGTGATATCAAAACTATCTTTGGTAATTCATATACCATTAGTCCGGATTCACGAAATTTATCTGATATACCTACCACTAAAGAGATACTCAGTATACATCAGGGTTTTGAAAAACAACTATTTGAAAAGACTTTCAGGCATATACCGTCCAATGAGCTGTAGGAACTGAGACATGCCATTGCAGTAAGTGGTTTTGCCGGAGCCTGGAGGACCAATCACTATCTGACCGAACACCATTCCAGTTTTATGAAATTTCCTACTCTGTTGGATGTGTGAACAATGATCTTAGTTTTGCTTCGCATAGGTGGCGATGGTGAAACGCTAACTAAGAAAAATTATCAAACTAGATAAACCAAATTTAAAAAAGGAACTAAAAGAATTGACAAGCTAAAGAACCTAAAAATATTTTTGTTTACCTGCGTTGCGGCGGAAGAGTGTGGCCAGGGGCCGATACAGAAAGTTACAATGGGGTGGGCTGAGAAACAAAATTGAAGACGCATACATAATAATACGTCAAGTCGTCAACACTTAACATATTCATCAAAACATCATTTAAGTTGTGCCTTACGCGACTTCAAAGTATAAAATTCATCAATGATAGAATCTACATCTACGTGATTGACAAAATCTCGTTCAATGTAGATCATCAATGAATATTCAAGAAAAATCATCTCCCGTTTTGTTACGAAGTGCCATCTTCGCATGTTTCCTTTCTTGGCAATATGTTGATTATCCATTCTAAAATACATTTTCAATATTGATATGAATTAAAATACTTGTATAAGATTATAAAAGTAATTAGAAAAAAACAATCGTTGTACCTAAAACTAATAAGTATTCCCAGTTTCAAAATTCAATTGAAATTTTCAATTCTTTATTACATGTCCACACAATAAATAAATCGTTTTCTAATGTTCAATTGTGTAATGAATAAATCATTCTCTAATCTTTAATAATTATAAATTTATAATGAATTAAACACTATTTTAATTCATATTGAAAATTTAATTGATAATCAAATTGATTCACTAACCTAAAACTCTAAAAAGCTAAAAATAATAATACACAATAAGTCAATAACACAGTCACATAATTATAGAGCAAATATTTAAAAAGCTCACCTGGAGGTTGGAGCTTCGGAGCTGGAGGCAGATGCCAGAGCGGCAGAGCCGGAGTCCAGAGAAGGACGGCCGACGACGGAGGGTTCTAGACGGGAGGCGTGTACGGTGGAACGCGGCGCGTCGTGGTAGGGTCGCAAACTCCCAAAGTCGCAAGTCGCAGAGCAGTCTTCGTTCTTGGATTTTTCTTCTTCGGACTTCCACTAGTTCGCGGGTAAGGCTGGGATGGGCTGTGGGCTGGGATTCGAATAATTTTGAGGTGGGCTGGTAATACATTTTAATAATATTAACTATTTGAATATAAATCAAAGGTGATATATAACAAATTTTCACTATAAACTCAATTATTTAATTCATCAAAAACTAATATCAAAATATCAAATAAGTGATCGTATTTCCAAATATCAATTATTTGATGATTTGATATTAGTTTTTGATGTCTCAAATGGCTGGATTTCTTCTAGAAAAGTGAGTCTCTTTTACTTTTCGTTGACATTCAAATAGTTGATATTATTAAAAGTTACTAGTATAGTACCCGTGCGATGCACGGGATATTTTCTAATGTTATAAGTTATCAATATTCTTTTATCAAATAGAAAAAGGATGTTATATATTACTACCTCCTTCCTAATTTATTTTGCAAAGTAAAAATTTTTTGGTTAACAAATGTTAAAATTAAATTCTCTCTATTAATAAATAATTAAATTTTAATAATTAAAATTTACGTATTCTGAAATTAAATTAAAATCTCTATAAAGTTGCAAATTAAAGTCTAGATTAAAATTTAGTCAATAATTGATATCCTAATCAAGTAAATTAAATGTAAATGTTTGACTAAAAAAACTCAAATTTGCAACTCAAATTGGGACGGAGAAAGTAAAAGATTAGATAAATTACCAGACAAACATTATACTATCCTTGAATTCAAGAACGACTTAAAATTAACGAATTATGATCAAATTTTAAAAATACTACGTAGTAAAGAAAAATAAATAATATCACCATCAGTGCAAGTTTTTATTTGCGTATGTATATATAACATAACGGTAATATATATCATACTCATAATACATTATGCTGATAATACAACCAATTTTGTGTTTAAATAATATAACTTCAACTTGATATTGAATATACATATATCACATTGCAATTTCAAAGAATATAAAAATGTAGTAACGGTTGGTAGAATATAGCATTCTTTTTCATGTTATTTACGTACTGAAAAAGAATAAATGACCCAACAAATTGTATATAAATTTAATGCTGCTTTACAAAATATAAAATAGAAACATCAAATCTAAGTATGAATCAAGGTGGGAATATTTGAAGGTCCAAGCACTCTCCTTCTCGATTTCTTTCTTGAACCATGCAAAGATGCAAACCTCCTTCCTGCATTTGCGTGTCACTATGACCAATAAATGCATATTGAAAATTTAGGAGGCTAGGAAGTTAAATATTCGTCACATAAAATAGTTCCCGCACTGACTTGGATCGGAGTTTAAGAAAATTAGAATAAAGTAAAAATGTATGGTTGTAGTTGAATAAAAAAAAGTAAATGAATGTGAGCCACACAAAACTTTTCAAAAAGGAAAATGTGAAATATTTTTTGGGACGACCCAAAAAGAAAACCGGAAACTATTTTGCGGGACGTAATGCTACCATTAACTCAACGTCACGATGCTTAAATAACTGAAAGATAGATAAAAATATGCTATCGTATAAATTTCTTTAAAAACAACCCAAAATTGGTTGCTTCCCATGCCACCCGGATTTTACCAATAAACACTGAAATTGGGCTTTTCCACTTTTCATCTTTTTTTATGTATTCCATTAATTAAACCGGTTTTTTGTACTAATGCTAATATTCTAGTCGATTCGGCCGAGGCCGGCCGGTTTTTAAACATAGTGTAGATAAATGTAGTTATGCACATTTTAGGTTCCATTCTCCATTTTCTAGACCTTCATTTTAAAGCTAAATCATCATCTATTAATTAATTTAATATAAATGGTGTCACTATTTATCACTTGAACGACGATTTTAGTCCTAATATTTCCTACAAATTGAATTTCGTCTCTTATTTCTAAGTTTATTGCCGGAGTAAGTTTTTTTTTTTTAATCGTTGCTATGTCTTTTTGCATATAATTTCAATGCTAGAAATTATCCATGATAGACCCATTCAAAACTCCATATATTAGTCTGAATTATATACGGAGTGTCACATGTAGCTCGATCTACAGCTGTGATTAAGCAGCAGTCAATCATAAACATTATCAAAACGATCATACCAAATTCAACCTAATATGAATTAATGTTCATACGGCGTATCAATATTTTGAACCACTGGCAGCAGTCAATAATAAACTTATAGGCAAATCAAATATCATGCTTTTAGCTATCTTAAGTTACATATAAAAAAATTACATATATAGTTGTTAAGGAAAGATTCGTATGAAGATAAACATTTTAATAAGAAAAAATCCCAAGTAAGAATAGATATTGAAGTGCATCATCAATTCATCAAACAACACAAGATAGCACATGCGTATGTTTCTAAATTTTAACTCAAGAATATATACGTATACTATATTACTGTAAAAAAGGATTTGATTAACCTGAAGCATAAAGATTCTGATATCAATACGGCAGGCGAAAGTAATGGCTTGCACCAAGAACTTCGATCACCTTATATCACAGCGACGTTCCCGGCCTTGGTCTATTTGATACTGTAAAAAATACTTCGTAACTGGTACAAAAAATTAGTTGACATTAGCGCAAAATAGCGTAACTGAGATAGGGTTCGGCCCGTCACATCAACTACGTCGGCTCCGGTTTCCTTCCCCAATAATCATCTTCTGCGATCAAAATTAACAGAAACTTCTGTTCCATACTTCCATTTACATAGAGCCAAGATTCAAAACCTGTCAAGCATTCAAAGAGGACAACCATAAAATCGAAATTATCAATTTCTTTTCAAAGCAAATGACATTCAACATTAGTGGTCCAGCGCATTTTATATCATTAGTGCTTAACTTGTCTTTATAAGTTGCTCAATATATATAGACGTATTATTGGTGATTGCAAAGGGCGGCCATCGTGCATGCTGCTAGTTATTAATTAACAGCTATAATCAATGCACACTATTGGAATCCCAAAAGACAGTTCTGGAAAAATAATACTCATGCCAAATTAATTCCGACATTTTCTAGCAAATTAGTGTTTAATTCATGCAAATCCCAAAAGACACTCCTCGCCTCGGCTAACTTTCTTCATTAGTATTCCCAACTTGCTACAGTGTTCCCGCCCAAATCCCCTTCCCACTTTTCTGTTTTTATATATATATAGATTTCTAAAGTATGCATTATTCTCGGTTCATGCAAGATAGTTGGTATTATTTAAAGTTATTTTTTCTATCCCTATTCTAATTAGAAAAAATAATATTTTGGTTGGGCTCGAGTTCACCCTGCCCTCACAGCCATCTCCCCCTGAGTGTGGTGTTGATTGATGTAACGGGGCGGAGGTTCCCCGATAGGGGGGGCCGGGGGGGGTCCCGGGTGTTAGAAGTTGTGGACAAGCGGCGAAGGTGGACCTGTCAACAACTCAGCATACTTGAGAACAATTTGAGAGTCAATTGGATGTTCATAATCCATCTTCAGTTCAGGACATTTACAACAGCACATCCTTGGATTCGGAGTAACATATACAATCTTAAAATCCGGATCTTACATTTCAATAGGATGACTAATCGAAGGAGTAGAATGCCACTTTTGCCAGTTTAGTTTGTATTTGTGTCAATATGATACTTTAGAATGTAAATGATATTATGAATATTTTAAAAATATGTGATTAACTTGTAATATAATACTATCCTATTATTTATTGATACAAAAGTTAATTGGTCAGTGGAAATGTCCTTATACAAAACATACAAACTCTAAAACAAGGGAATTAACCTCGATAAAAAATAAAAGAAAAACTGTCAAATGGTCTTTCTACTTCTGCGGAAAAAGTCAATTGAGTCCTACTACTTTTAAAAGAGTCAATTAGGTTCACAAAGTATTAAAAATTTATCAAATTAGCTATTTTCCAGGTAATGATCCAATTTCCAAATTGATTAACTCAAAAATGGCTAATTTGATCAAATTTCAGTACTTCGTGTACCTAATTGATTCGCTTAAAAGTAGTAGGACTCAATTGATTTTTTCGCAAAAGTAGAGAGACCTATTTGGAAGTTTTCTCTAAACAAAGAATAGCAATTTTAGAGAGACTTAATCCAAGAAGCACTATGTTTACTAGTTAACTAAAGATTTTTTACTTGTTTTACCAAAAAAACGGGGTTTTTACTTGGACTGATTTCAGTCTCAGACTAGACTTAAATAGACTATATCAAACCACATCAGACTTTGACAGTTATAAAATACACATAGACCAAATCCGTTAAAATTAGATCAGGTTAGACTTAAATAGACCAAATTAGATAAGACTAGAAAAATTCAGTTCAATTATAAACAAAAAAAACATGTTTAATCTTTGACAAAATCTCACTTTTAGTTCCTCAATAGTTCCGATATTGAAATGTAATCCCAGTTTTTGAAGTTTGTAAATGTTACCACTTTATTGTCCGAATTGTTGTAAATGTGGTCATTTGAGAGGTGAAATGTACAATATGAGTGATGATTACATTTACATCAATTCAGACAATTGAAGAGTTATATTTACACACATGGAAATACAGAAATTACATTTCAATATCGGTACTATGTGAGAGACTAAAGTGCGATTTTCCTTAACCTTTTATTAAATATGCATTTTAAACGCGTCATACCTTAAGCGGGTCAAAACAACATCTACTATACCTGATTATCAAATTACGCAATGAATCAGAGTTCAAGTATGAATAAACAAATTTATTTATTTATTTATTCATTTGCTCGAACTAGTTTCAGTTAGAGACTATGAAGCTGTTCTCTTCACCTGATCTGAATGTTTCTGATCTGAATTTTTTATGTTCTCATCTGATCTGATCTGATCTGAATTTTTCTGATCTGATCTGATCTAAATCTTTCTTATCTGATCTGAATGTTCCTGATCTGATCTGAATGTTCCTGATCTGATCTGAATGTTCCTGATCTGATCTGAATGTTCCTGATCTGATCTAATTTGAATATTTCTAAAATTATTACAATTATAATTACTATAATTATAAATGTAATTACACACATATAATTTAAATATAA